TATATATATATATGCCCAAGTTCATTTTAACACGGATAAAAGGATTTAGGTTTTCCTCAAATCCTTCAAACACAGATTACCTAAGAACTATTTCCAGGACAACTAAGTCTTCTGTTACATTAATTGTAAAATCATGGTCTGTTTTGCAAGGATATATGTGAAATATGAGAAAGATAAATAACAGTATTTATGATTTACTGTCAGTAAATCCAACTCACATTATATTAAGTAGAAGTTTCCTAAATGCAATGTGGATGGGTGAAAGCAGAAAGCACTCCCGTAATATTCTGCACATACAAGTTACAGCCATATTATCTTCATTTTTTTTAGTTCAAGCTTTAAAAAAAAATGGGAAGTTTTATTCCTAAGTCCTTGAGTAAAGTTAAAAATTTAGGACCCAGTCCTTTTTCCAGAAGGACCTATGAAAGTTCAACCAGTAATTTCCATCAATATGAGTGGCATTCAACTATTAATCAAAACATTACAGGAATGACTGAATAGAAATCTACAATTGCAATAATGTGTGACACGGCCAGTCTCCGAAGGGTCGTAAATACAGGCAGCTTTTCTGAAATGGAAGAAATATGAATTCTGACACCTTCCTAATTTTTATCTATTATTCTACTATGTTTTTTGGAAAAATCTTTGCTTTGTTATTGCCAGTAGTTATTCACTATTCTCGTTCAAAGACCTGAGGCATTTTCTAGACTTCTTTCATCAGCTCAGACTTAACAGGACAAGTCCTTTTTCTTTGCTGCCAGCTGGCCATCTGCCCATACCAATAAAAATCTACAGAAACCCAAGACACTCATAATCAAAAGGAAACCTTAGCTTAGCTAACTGCTTGCACCTAAAACAATATAATTTTTGTTATTGTCATACATGTAAATTGAGAATCTGAAGACAGTGGTTCAAGTTTTAATGAAGGAAACAAGTAATACCTTCCCTATTGAAATATCTCCATTTGCAAAATTTCCTAATAAAAGACATCTTTGCCTACTAGAATTAAGGGTTACATTCAGCTGTAAACTATTTCTCAGAGTGGATCCACTCTTTTAAAATATGAAATTCAATGATTCTATACATTCAACTTGTCTCAGATATTTCAGGAGTAAGATTCAGTTGTTTTGATTCATGTTTCCAATGCAAACAAATTACAGAGTGTACTGAAGCGCACAAAAACACAAATGACTTTTCTAGTTGGGAACAGATTGTTGTGACTTTATGACAAGGTAGCTGCTACTCATATTAATTATAATTTGAAATAAAACCGTATCTTAAAGAAAACTGTACTAAAATCTCAATCATATTATCAGAAAATACTCTCAGCCTCAAATTTTATTATTTAAAAAGAGTTGTCCTTGTGCTTCAAAAGTATTTGTGTGATCATCATGTCCAAAAGTGAGTATCAGCAACGGAACAAGTTTTTCCTTTTTAAGAAGAGGAAGGTTATGAAAAAGAAATTACAAGTGCTGAACATGGTACAGCTGAGATAACTGTCCATCCTGAAGTAATGGAAACTTCAGAATTCAATTCTGAATACACAGGGTTACACTGCAACACTCCTTACGCTTGTCAGGCAACATGTATTTACTAACACACAGAAATAAATCTAGCACACCAACACCTGTATGACAGAAGTGGTACCTATTTTTCATTCATCTTTCTCTACGTGAGGAAAATTTTTTTAAGGAGGTGATGAATGTTTGCAAACCAGTCTCCCAAAGGGGAGTCAGCTTAAATTCAACTGCTAAAACTTGGATGTAATGCAGTAATTTCCGAGTTTTGCCTGCAGGACATACACATTCTTGTTACAGTGAGATTTTAATTTTAAAAGTGTTGCAACCTTGAACTTGCTGAGCTTCAGTGAAAAAGAATGAGAACAACTGCTCTAGTCACAGTTATCTAGCTATCAGAATAAGCAAAAGTAGCAGTGAGAGGCATTGCAAATGCAGCACGTTCACTGAACTAGAAGCTAGACTGCAGGCATTTTATTTACATATCTCGAATATATTCTTTGCACTGAAGATTTATTATCATCTCCTATCTTACCTCAATAGCTTAGAGTGCTCCACTTAAAAGACAGAACGGGTATCAGACTTAGTCATTTCATGGTTCTTCTAATTCCTCTTAGTAATAAGAATTAAGTGCATTTCTCTGTATCCTGAAGGAAGAAAGACTGACCTCCTGCTCACAGCTGCTTTCAGCCAGCACACATGCTATAGTGTCCCTCTGTTTCTTCCCCTCACTTATGCTCCTAGCAGTAGCCTGATTGTCTTTTCCCCTCTGTTGTGCTCTGAAGCATTTCTGCTGCTTCTTGCCTCGGTCTCCTAATAAAAACCAAATTAAACTCAAAGGAAAATTATTTACTCATAATTCTAAACGTAGTGAAATAGCTAAGTAATAATCATGGACAAAATGAATATTCAAGGTTACTCACAAGTATGAACTATTTTAAATAGAGGATAGCAAAACAATTCACCCTACTCCCACTCACAATACCGAACTGCGAAGTTTAAAAATAATTTCAGAAAAAAAAAAAAAATTCAACATGTGACTACATATGTAGCTGCTAAAAAAGAACACTTTAATCTCAGAAAAAAAAAATGTCAATTGCGAGCACCTAGACAACTCAGTGGCCATTACTTTAGCACAGTTGATACGTAGAAGACAGTTGCCACTCCAAAGACCTTAGTTTTATTACATTCTCTTCTTAAACTTGCAAGGCACTGAAAACCCTGCTGGCCTTGAGTTGCAGTTTCAGGGTATTCTCAATTACATACTAAAATAAGGGTGTTCCCTAAAGGTGTATTTTCAGTTAAAACTGTAATAGAGGCACTATCCAATCTATCTGCATTTTAGAGGTAAGGTAAGAATTCCCACTGAAAGAGAAACTGCTGCACTCCAGGAATATTAATTAAAAAAAAAAACCGTACTGTGCCTTATTCTACATTGCTTAAAGCACTCCCTTGAACTTGTAAAAATTATGCAGAAAGTCTCTCAGACCATTAAGAGCAGGACTGAGGGAATTAAAACAAGTATTGAAAAAACTTAGCCACATAACAGCTTATGACTAAACAAAATTCACAATAATTTAAATTTTGTTCTAAAAATACTGTTTGTGCAAGGACAGTTCCTAGAAAGACAACGCATTCAAAAGTTGCAAAACCTTTGCAAAGTGAAAAGCCCAAACTGACAGTACTTCCGATGATACATGAAGACTAAATAAAAGATAAAGAAATATTTTTTCAAAAGTGTATTATTTCCTCCTGTCTCTCCATCTTTTTTCTTTTTTTGTTTCTTTAATCTGTGAAATGTTAGTAGAGGTTTTAATTTCGAATTCTATAATCAGCTTAACGAGAAAAAAAAGCCGTATTCTCTTGTGCTGCATAACAGAATGTAAAATGAAAATAACTTTGTAAGTACTTAACAGTATGAAACAAAAAACTGAAATGGTTTAGAACAGAAAGGCAAATTCTATTCTTACAGTGCCTACTAATCACACCACAAACGTAAAAACACTTATGTGATTTTGGTGGTAGATTCAAAGCAGGTTTACATAATGAATTCTTAGAGCTATCTATTCTCAGACATCTGTACTTTTCTTATCTTTTTGTAGAATGAACAGTAAAATGGATGAAGGCTTCATGCCACAACTCCGGTACAAATTTTTACTAATATTACTAATAAAAATAGGTATTTTACTTTCCATGCTTAAATCTGTCTAGAAATACGCATCCAGCAAGCACCTTGAATATCTTTGCCATTAGTTATCCAAAAAGGTTATGCCATACACACAAATACACAGTACAACAGCTTTAAAACTTACTCTGCTCCTTACTTAGCATGGATAAATACTGAGTCCTGTATTCAGTCTTTAAAATCTTTTAATAATAAAATTATTTTTACTTCAGTTAGGACTAGAACTGCCTCAACAGCAATTTCAACCCCACGGTAAATAAACCTTGGTATACAAACCAGAATTATTTCAAAGGACACAATCTGTGAGTCACAACAGTTATATAAATAAGACACTGTAATAGTTTCTTGTCCTAAAAAGTTTCTTTGTACTACAATGCACTAAAGAAACTGGAAGTAGTTGATATGCATCCTAGATCAGCAGGCACAAATACAATTCAAATATTTAGTTCAATGTAAATTTCACTCTAATTTTGACAGTGTGTCACTGCTTATATATAGCAAAGATACTGTTAAGGTAGACTACTCCACAGGCAATTTTCTTGAGCATCATTAACAATGAAACAAGACAGCATTGCTGGTACAACGCTAGTCAGATGTTTTAATGTTTGTCTCCCAGAAGGGTTATAGTAGGAATTAAAATTAAAGTCTTACTTGACTTCACAGGAATGGATGCTTAACTCTTTGTGTAAGAGTCCACTTGTAAGATGGAACACCAGAACAGAGCCGTTACTTGTACCTATAAAGAGTGATTTAAAAAAAACACATAGACTTGTTTTATCTCTTCCACACTTTAGTGAAAATGCAGGATTTACATTTCTCTCAGGTTTTTTGGGGTTTTTTTTTTAATAAATACCTGTAACTTATATTGTACAATTTTGGAAAAGGTATTTTGATTTCTAGTGTTAAACCCCAAATATTAAACTGTGCAAGGCTCTCTCCAGCCAGTGAAATCCATTTGGATCAAGCCATTTTCCTGAACCTACTTGTAGAGCCTGTAGAAAATCTGTTCATTCTTCTTGCATTTTCACAACATATCCAGTTGTAGGAGAAAAGAATGTTTCTTTTTGTTTTGATTCCTCAAGATGAGTAAATGCCTCAAGGAAGAGTATTACCTGTTATCCACCAATACTCCCAGGGGAAAATCATGGGTAGATTCTACTGAATCATTAAAGCAATTCTGCATTCTCATCCCTGAAATAACGACCTCTTTCAAATTACAAATCAGTAACTTAGCAGCTATTAGCTTCAATTAGATCAAATACCTTCTGAAACACTGAAAGTTGCAATTTTCTATTACACACTGGGAAGACTTACTTTTCCTTCTCTTTTTTCTTTATACTCATATCAACTTTATTAAATACAGGGATACCTAAAGAGATGTTCAGGTACCTTAAGTCTAGAATGCTGCAGACCCTGCTGTAGATGCACTTCATACCTACTTACTAGTTTCCCAGTCTTCATATTTCGCCTGTTTTAACAGCTACAGCTTATACAAAAATCAAAAATTACATTTCAGTAGCACCACATCATGTAATGATAGCTTGCCTACATTTTTGAGCACAACTATTGATGATACTTTTAGCTCAGTAATAACAGAAGTATTACGAGAACTGCATGCATACATACATGATTATGGCATTTTCATTACTGGAGTGAGATCCTCTTTGTAAACTCCTGCGTTAACATTTACCTTTGCAATCCCCCTCCCCGCCCCATTCAAAAACCTAAGGCTCAATAGCACAGGCAACCTTAAGAATAACAAAAAACTCCCAAGTCTGACTTGTGACAGGCACAGCCTCGAAGGGCAGCCAAGAATCAACTGGCCTTAGATGTACCAAGAGCAATTTTGAACAACCAAAATCTGGACGTCTAATTTTACAACCTACTACAATCTTTAAATTACAGCATCTATGTGTCTACTGTTCCAGTCCGCTGACTGCAGAGGAAGACAGCAGCCTGTGTGGATACATTGTGAAATCCCTGATGTGGTCTGAAAGAGCATGTCAGAAAAATCAGATATAAATCGGAAGAACTGAGTTAATAAATCAGGTGCTCGCTGGCAACTATTGTAATATCTAGATGAGTTACCTACGTTTGTAACAAGACAAAATAGATTCATTCAGGAAAAATAACGTGCTGTAAGTATATTTTTAAGTATTTTCATCATAACAAAACTACAGTCTGTTAATTTAATTCAGTTATTCTAGGAATGCAGCGCTGCAGAAGTCCCTATTTAGTGATATTCAGAATGAGAGCAGCACATAAAACGCTGAACATATGAATGGACCAATATCATAGTAAATGAAGGATAAATACAAACTTGCTAATATAATGCAATTTTTCAGGTAGCAATATTTAAACCCAAGGCAGTAAAAAAAGAATCCAAAGACTACCATGGATGCAAACTAATACAAGGGTCGCTATTTTTGATGCATTACATAGGATCAAAAAAACAGAATTGTTTCTCTATTAGTTACTATATTTGTATATAATCTAGAATTTAATATTTTCAGAGCAACCAATAAACTACTCAAGATACTTACCAACGGCAAGGACTGGTTCATACTGTTTAATGTTTTTTATCGTAAGAGGTGGGCACATGCGGATAGCAAATGGAGGCAAAGGAAGTCCTGAAAGAAGTCCAGTCAGCAGAAATTTGAGGTGTACTTCTTGCAGAAAAGAACTTTTTAACTGTTCTTCTCCAGCAATTGTGCCTTGCCCTGCTTAAAAATGAAAACTCTTGTTAGTATTAAATTTTAATCTGAGGTGTTACAGAAAGTTATCAGACACAGGAATTTATAAAATGAAAATTACAAATAACCTAACATATATGTTAGCAATGTTTACTTAAAGAGGCATTCCTTCCTGTTGAACTCTGTATGATAAAACCTTTTGAAAGACTGCACTTCAGCTAATTTCTCTGATACTAGCTTTCTTTCCTAACTCTAAGAAGGGAAAAAAAAAATGGAAGGAAGGAAGAGGGGAAAAAAAAAAGTAAGTGCAACCATTTCAGTCTTCTTCCAGAATTCAAGGGTAGTTTCTATTCTTTTTTTCTCCTTCTGTTTTTTTCAAAGTTAGTTACAAATATTTTAAAATTATTAGACCAATTCAAAGACTTACAGAGGTATAACTCCAAACAGTAAAAACTGAGGGCAACCCAAAGCTAGAAATACAGTGAATTTGCTCAGATACAACAATGAACATGGGCACAAAAAAAGATACAATTCCCCTGCTGTACAGCTTCTGCAGTCAGCTGTACCAGTCCAAGTGATGTAAGGTATAAAATAACAATAGCTATGATCTCATTGACTACAGGAAATGCAGGTAAGAGAAAAATCATGCCCTAAATGCCATCTTTAAACACATGAGATAACGTGCAAAAGAACCTCCCACAGTGGTAAGCTGCCTGCACCTAACAATATAGAGAACTTTTACCAAACCAAATCCAAACCTGTACCTTCGTATCTCTGAGCAGCACTAGTCACTTTTCCAATAAAAATTAGTTTTAAAACATAAAGGTAACCACCTTTATGAAACATTTCTCAATACTGAAGTGTTGGTTGCTATCTAGATTTCACAAAGATGGATATGTCAAGATCAATTGTCTTCATCCGTTTAAGATTACTTTTAAAAAATGAAGGTGTTTTGGCCAAATTCATTTTAAATTACCTTTTTTTTCCCTCGGAGAAAATGAGGTTTCAATATTGGTCCTCAACATAAAATCCTCAAAAAGATTAATTTGGTAATTTCTTTAGCAAACAGACATTATTTTCTTTCAGAATTACTACTTAAATTGCATAGAAAATAATTCTAACATATGTACTTCTTAAGTAAGCTAAGACGTACAATGATTCAAAAATCCTAGAAACGAGTAGCAGTAATATTAGCGAAAGAAATTCTTACCAATCATGTTATCTAACGAGAGGTCTGGAAGTTTGTTCTGGAATGCTCCTACAGGAATTCCACAGAATGAGACTGGGGAATACAAGGGTGATGCACCTGAACTGCTGCAAAAGAAACAAAAACAAGTTCCTAATACAAACTGGATCACCTGTTGACGTAGGTACTCGATTTTGTTTTCTCCCCAGGTTGTTCCTTCAGTATTCCTACCACTTACTAGTTGCAGAGTATTTTGAGATTATTCCCAACATCAACTTCCGTGAACGACTCTACCAGGAGATAATCCCCACAAAAATGTACAAAATTTAAAATAACTTTCATCTTCCTTACAGACATATTTACAAGTAACAGAAAAACAGATGTATTCCTTGTTCTGAAGTGTACCTAAGCACTGAATGGAAGCTTTTAAATATATTGTGTACTAATATGTAGAGCTATGTTAATGAATACAGCTAAGGAATATGCATAAATATTTCGACCTTTAAGAACAGATTCCCAAACTTGGGGAATGGTTTTTGTTACCTACGTATATTTCTTATATACATTCCAGGTGACGAAGCCCATAACTGAAATAATGCCTTTCACCTAAACATATTAAACACAACTGCTTTTACATATGCAAAGCTACAGCAGAAACTTACAGTATTACCTATGTTTACATTCTTGTGAGTTATCTTTAACGGACTTTTGAGTTCAAATTTTAATTAAGACCATCAAATCCAGAAGGATCAAGAGCTAATGGAGGAAGACTCCTTTGAAAACCATTAAAGGCTCTGTGCCAACTAGACATATGCTTTACTTTTCAGTACAATCCAACCATATCCAGAATCCTCTAGGCTCAGTGGTTCTTACATTATTATTACATTTTTCCTCGTTATATATTCATGACAAAAATCAACATTTTAGAAATGAGCCTAAGAATCCAAGAAGTAAAACTCAGCGATGTACGGATCCTAAACAGCTCTCTGGGATATGCATCACAAAGACTGCATCTAACTATTTTTGAGAACACCAAGCATAAAAACATTGTATCACTGATGAACAACAAAAGGATCTATGTTGAAAATCTGGTACTTCTGACACTTAAAAGTGTACTAAGAATTCTCTATTTCTTCTATGGCAGTAAGTTATTTATTTTATTCAGTAGTACTTGAAAGGTTTACTGCAGCAGAATGACCTTAATACACTGAATGTTTAAAGAACTATACTACTTCATATAGTATGCTTAGAGACTGCTGAAAATCTAAAAATCTAAAGGCTTTGTATATAAAAATATTGTTTATACCACTGTATTCCAGCCCACCCACTGTGCGGCCTTATATTGCTCTGTGTCAAATTCACACAAATCTAGCAGAAAACCTTACTAAAAATGTAGTCCTTTCCAGACTTGTTTTGCAGTCCTTTCATGTGATTGAAAGGGAGGGATTCATTCCTGAAGAAAACTATATAGCCTGAAGAAAGCCAAATGAGAAGAAAATGTTCCCCCAAAATAATGTGAATATTCATTCCTCTCTTTTGTTTCCTTATTCCTACCACTTAGTATGGAATGATTTTTTTAAAGAAAAAAGAGTAAATACAGTTCCTTCACTTCCCCAAACCAAGGGAACTAATCTATTTGGATGTTATATTTTGTTCCTCTTCCTTTCATTCATACACATGTATAGCACATGTCACGCTACCATACACAGAAGGACATCACTATTGCTTTTAGAATATAATTAAATACTACATGCCACTTGTAAATGTAACAGATGGAAGCTCTGGTAAGAAAAATAAATCCCATTACCTGTTACGCACATTTCTGCCAGAAATACTGGATTTTAATTCCCAGATCATTACCCTGCCATCACTGACTATGAGAGCTGCAGAATTCTCATTCACTGGGCAACACACCATACTGAAGGGTCGAACTGTTTTTGTTACCCTGATTGCATCACACTGACTTCTTAAATCATAAATCAGCTCCTGAACTGGGTCTGGATCTGTAACATCAATGTCCCACAGAGGACAAACAATTAGAATGGAAAACACATGATGTGATCAATCAACAGAGGTAAATTTGCAGAATGACTGCACTCTTTGGTTGAAATCCACATGCTTCCTGTGCAACAATTAGGAAAAATAATCAAAAACCATATACCATTCATCTTGCTGTACACAACACAGCTTTGAGAAGTTCCTCCAAAATTTAACTCTTGTCTTATTCTACATGAATCTTGCAAAATCTAAAAAAATTACTGTTTCATATCTGGGCAGAAAGTGCATCTGCTCTCCACAATCCAAAACTCATTCAGTTTATTGGTAAACCTGGAAGCAAGTAATGTAGCTCACTAGAAATTACCAAACTGCCAAAACCAAAACAAACTAACCAAAAATATCACTTATTTACATTTACAGAACTATGTTTTCCCTTCTCTTTTCCAGTCTTCTGCATTATATTCAAAAGGCCATTCTTAGTAATATTTCATAAAAGAGATGAAGGTTTAATAATTTAGATTTTAACCTAAATTTAAGCCCATGTTTCAGTTCTAAAATCAATTCTTCCAATTAACCAAATAACTTCCAAAACCTTGTGTTTGCCTGAAAAATGTTTGGGTTTTTGTTTGTTTGTTTGTTTTTTTAAAGATACAAAGAACAAACTAATCATCTTTTATCTAAAACTTTCTTGTATATGTGACTATTTAGCCACCTCATAATTAAAGTATTATTTAGTGATAAAAGGATTTTCAGGCTATTAATATCTTATTTTGCACTAAATTTCAGGGAAGTCAAAAACAATGTTGGGAGAATACAGCATATACAGTATAAGAGAAAAAAAAAACTAGAAGGGCTGTAATTCACCATGCTGTATGAGGCATGATGGTTAATGTTGGTGTTAAAGCATTAATTAAAACATCTCAGAGTTCATTTCTGGACCTTTTTGACAGAAAACTTACCTGGCTCTTCATTTGGAGTTCCAGTTATACTGCAGTTAGATCTGCGAACTCTTAAAGTTATACAACCATTTTCATGTAGGCAAAATAACCCATCACGCTGAAAACAAGGAATTACCTAGGTAAAGAGATACCACATTATACTGGGTTATTAAAATTTTATCCTTTGCAAAGTACACTAATGTATCCTGATGTATAAGCAAGTCACTAAAAATGTTACCATTAATGTAACACCTCAATGTCTTTCTTTAGCTACAGCACTTGTGACTAAGGAAGTTAATTAATTTGAGAAATTAATTGAAAGGTTTTGTTTGAATTGTTTTTTGGTTTGGGGGTTTGTTGGTTTGGGTTGTTTTTTTTTTTAATTAATGTACTCTCATAGATTCTTTTTAGCTATCACTTTAAGAAACACTTTATTTTTTTGTATCAGAATTCATGATTCCAATAGAATAAAGATGCTTTAGTAAGACCTCAGACTAGACTTAGCCGTCTAATTAAGTAAAGGCAGATGCTCAGAGAACTAGTCTTAACTTGTGTGTAAGCAGCTTAACCACCAGAGAACAAAATGTCCTTTTTCCACCCTGGTAACTTTTGTAACACCACAAAATAAAGTGGGTTTGCTGCAGACTTCAGAAAACTAAATTAAATAATACTTGGTTCAGAGGACATTTTTCCCCCGGTGATCTAACTTCTTTTCATCCTGTAGAACTAATCAAAACACAACTAACAGTGGGTCATGAACTTACATATGATCTTAATAAACTATTACAATGATAGAAACCAATCAAATTCTCATTACCTGTAGGAAAGGCACACCTGTTCTTTCAATTGCAATCACACCCACTGTCTGATTCACTTCCAAGTCAAGAATCAAAATTTCTCTGGGATACAGTAACAGCATGTAGTTTCTTTTGGAAGGCAAATATGACAACTGAAGACAGTCGTTGAGTGTTACAGATTCAGCACTGCAAAACATCAGATATAAACTTCAATCAAGTTTAGTTTCAACAAATACTTCAAGTTAAAAATAAAATTAACAGTATAAATTTGCCTGCAGCTGCGGGTTTTGTTTTGGTTTTTTTTTTTTTCAAGTATTCCCTATTTTCATCACTACGGAACTTGTAGATTTCCATTTAATTGCTACAGCAGTGCAAAGCATCACTGACCTTTAAAAGACACACACTCTGTTGACTTTTGTCTAAATAAGATTATAGAGTAATTTTAAAAATAATATGTAATTCAAATGGAACAAGTGTAATTCTTGCACATCTCAAATACAAAGCAATTCAATTATGAACAGTGCTAGCTGCCATGATATTTACTGGCATTCATGGGAAATTACCCTTAAACATATCGCTTACTTCAGTTTTTATATTACTATGCGTATTACTTTATTTTGAAATGAACAGAACTAGCCTATCAAGAATACCAGTCTTCAAACTTAAAGAAAATAGCGAAGAGCAGGAATGTTCGTCATTTTGTTGATTGCTAACGGGAGACTGGCTGCAAGGTAAAGAGGTTCATTAGGTACATGCAATCCAATGAACTGTATAGAAGTATATAATATAAGTCACACTGAAGAAAAACATCCTCATACTGGTCTCAGGTTTGAAGGTCTCTTAAGTGATTTAATGTATCATCCCTTTGAGGGGTTGGTTTGGTTTTAATCTCCTCATTCTACCATGCACCAAGCCTCCCTTACACTCTTCTTGTATCTCATTCCTTGCTTCAGGAGTAATATTCACCTTCTCTCTGCATTCACTTTCCTGACAATCTCCTGCTCCTCTTCCCTCAAAGTTTCCATAAACTAATATAAAACCAGATAAACCACTGCTGCTACAATTTTTTCTTCCCCTTTTCCCATTCTGCTCTTTTTCAGGTGTTCTAGATGGAAAAGGAGGGAGAAAAGAGAAGACTATCATACCCTTAGCAATATTCATATACAACTTTAAAATGCAATCAGAAGAATGCAAAAAAATGGTATCTTTGCTGATTTGCTGTTATTACAGAGCATACATAAGGCTGCAGCAGCATGTGTACTGTCTCAGTACTTGCAAATCAGGTGTTTAGTCCAACGCGGTACAAATTAGGCATTACAGAACACAAAATGACAAGATCATGCCCTTTAACTTCATACAAAAATCACAATTTCTTAAATGATTAACAAAAGAAGTATCATCAAGTCTTCTCCCCAGTTTGCAATTTCAACACCTTACTGAAACAGAGTATAAATTTCGTATCTGCACTAAATTTTGGTGTTGAGTGCTAACTAATAATACAGTCCGATTAGTTTGTTCTCAAATTTGCTAGACACTCGAGAAATACTTCTATTACTCAAATAGAAAGTACGAAAGGAAAAAAAGAATTACACCACGCAAAAGTGGTCTATAAAATTCCTAGCAAAAAAAACCCTCAAAATGAAATGACTTCAGTTTTAAAATGTCAGCAAATAGACAAATGTATAAATTCTAATTATATTTATACACTATTAACTTAAAAAATGCCTCCTACTGCATCACCATGTACATCAGAATGACAACTCTTCTCATGTATCAGTACTAACAGAATTTTTATTCTCTTATTATATCCCTCCTCATTCCACAATTGAAATGAATTATGTTAGCCCATTTTAATCTTTTTTTTTCCCACCTAAGAAAGATGTTTCTGAATTTACACCTGCATGAAAATCTGTTAGCGAAGGGAGAACATTATGTCATTAACTTATGTAAAATATGCTGAGATGATATGGCTGTTTTTACGAACAGGACTGGATGAATGACTGTCAATGTTATATCCTTACATAATGTCCTCATATAGGACATCCAACCATCTGCCTACCCCAATGAATTTTCTTTTTTAAAACTAATTATCTTATAGACTTTAATCTAATTACATCTGTAAAATACACAGGTATACAAAACATTATCTGAGAAGAAGTATTTGCAACCTACCTTGGTTTTTCATTACTGATTAAGATTTTTACTTTATCAAGGGCCTTTTTGGCCCCTGTAGCAGCAGCCAGCTTGTTGTGAGAAGGACTGGAATGGGGACTAGAGATGTAAACTTTCTTCCCTGAGCTGGCAGGAGCTTTGGAAGGAGAGAAGTCGGAGATGAACACTATTCCTTCACTGGTGAGCACTGTACCAAGAAAAAATTTTTTATTATAGCAAAATACAATCTGCAATTTGATTGTGGTGTTCCATTTTAATGACATTTTGGTGGGGAGAAATATTAACAACTTTCATAATACTGTATTAGGTAGAAAACTCATGATTCTAGACAACAGGCACCTTCTACTGAAAGAACTACAGATGGTCCATTACAATTAATTATATCCACAAAATTCAGTTTTTCAAAATGAAGTCTATGCTAAAAAAATACTGTGGGGATTACTGGCAGAAACATCTTGTTTCTTCAGTACAGTTATTCTCTCTCATTGACTATTTCTCTTTAAGCTTCACAATGCAAACAGAAGGCAGGGTTGCCCACATTGGCTATATCACCATTTTTTGTTCTCATGCAGAGCATGGCTCAAAGAATCATTAACTCGCATTATTTATGTTGCAGCATAAAGATTCAGGTAAGCTGTAAAGATGTAGCTAAGCTTTTACTACATGTTTATGCAAAAAAAAAGCAGCTCTTTTTTTTAGGTTGAATGGTATGGCAGATAAAAAAGACAACCACAAAGCCTGGAACCTGCACTGTCTCATCAGGAGTGATAAAGGGAAATTAAAGAATAAAATGGTGACTCTCTTATTTCTCTTAGTTTCTTTCTGCTAAAATGTCAATAAATCTGCACTACATCCCCCTTAACATTTGAATTGCTTCTGAAACTGATGCTCACACTCTATTCCTTTTAAAAAAAATCCTTTCTGTTGAAAATACCATTTATGCTTGGTCTACTCATCTCACTGGATTCTCCCTCAGCATCCATGCTTTTACAGCTTTTCATGTCAGTTTAACAGGGCTCTCTACACTTGGCTTCCTCCAGCTCCCTATTTACATGCTGTCCACCTTCTTCATAAAGGCTCAAACATTTATTTTCAAATCTCCAACTTCTCTACTCATGCCTGCTTTCCCCCACCCCTCACACAATGGCATCTTATTTTAGAAGATTCCACATTGACCAAAGACTCCCCTGTCTTTGTTCTGAGACTTCTTCTTGGCATTAATGACATTATTCTCTCCAATCCATTTCTTTAATCTCAATATTAACATTTTAGTTCAACATTTTTCCTGGTCTGCCACATTCACATCACACTATTTTATACAGGCAAACTTACAAGCCAAGTGTGATGGATCGAAGGGGTCAAATGAAAAAGACAGAATATTTTCAGCATAACTTTTCTTCCAAAGTTTGGTGCCCGTGTCTGCATTCCACAGTACAATATAGTTAGGTGGATGAATAGCAAGCAGTAAATCTCTAGAAGCATCTTGATTCCACAACCACTGCATGTCTGTAAAAAGAAAGAACAAACAAACAGTGAAATTAATTTTCAAAAAAAGTTTGTTCTATTTTAAAAATATTTTTCTTCTGTAATACCTCATCTTTAAAGAAATGAATAGTGACCTGTTAGTAACAAACCGCTTCTATTTCACAATTCTAAAAAGTAAGTTCCTTTTACGGCCTGAATTTATGTTTTTAACAAGCAGCAATACACTGGGTTACACACGTCCACACACATGCACACAACCCACATCCAATCTGAAGAAGTCAGATCTTTTCATCCCGTGAATTCCTACCTGAAACAACATACTGTATTGCACAGAACCACTGCAGAATCAAAATGAAAAGAACCATACAACATCCTGACTAATATTTGGAATGACATCATTGTCCTGGTTTTGGCTGGGATAGAGTTAATTTTCTTCCTAGTAGTGGGCATTATGCTGTGTTTCAGATGTAGTAGGAGAAGAATGTTGATAACACACTGATCGTTTAGTTGTTGCTAAGTGCTGCTTACACCAGTCAAGGACTTTTTAGCTTCCCATGCTCCGCCAGGTGCACAAGAAACTGGGAGGGGGCACAGCCAGAATAGTTGATCTAAACTAGCCAAAGGGCTATTCCATACCATACGGCGTCATGCCTGGTATATGAGCGGGGGGGGAGTTGGCCAGGGGGGAGCGATCGCTGCTCGGGAACTGTCTGGGTGTTGGTTGGTGGGGGGTGAACAATTGCATTGTGCCTC